CATATACAGTGTTTTAATAAGGACATGATGGAACATCGTAGGCTACCGGTAGCTTTTCAACAAATAAAGTGTAATACAATGTTCCCGACGGTTATTTGGACCTGTTCAAACATGAAGCCTTCGTGGTCTAGTGGTTATGACGCTCGCCTTGTCAGCGAGAGGTCGCAGGTTCGAATCCCGTCGGATGCATTTTATTACACAAAGACTTTTATAGGACTTTATTCGCTGAAAGCTACAGGGTAGCCTACGATGTTCCATCATGTCCTTATTAAAACACTGTATATGTACCTTTGATGATTTATATTACAGTATATTTATTCAACAGTGTTAACGGCTAACTCCCTTCAATATCATATATATATATATATATATATACCTGTATGTATATTTTTTTCCACCTTGTTTCTCTACATGACTAAAGCAGTATACGTATTTAAAACATGGAACATTTACCGTTAACTAAAAATAAACAGATACTTGATATTTTTATTCAAAACCCAACTGCAATACACTAGCTTTAAACGCTATAATGCTTTTTTTTTTTTTAATATCTATTGTAGGGTCAATATTATTCATTTACTATAAACATATCTCCATTGATCGATTGGAATTAGAGGACAAAGTTTTTAACCCCTTTAAAGACGTAAAACATAACACCGGTATTACTCAATAGCATGTCACAACGGTGGCAGATCTAGGGTTGTCACAATGGCCGCTGACATCCGACAACAGCTAAAAATCACTAACCAAATGTGAAATATATAATGGTTAAAACTCAGAGGATTTTATGTTATATGTTAATAAAATTTTATTATTGTAATAATTTATACTGGGTTTTTCCAGATTCATATCACTTTGGGAAAACCCGAGCTTTTTTGAAAGACACGTGTATGATTTTACCCAATCAGCACGTCTGTGACTGCTCCCCGGCTATACAGACATAAATGAACTGTTGAAGATAACAATTATTTCATTAGTTTGTTTGTGTCGACTCAGGACCACAAATAACTTGTTGTCGTGAAGACTAATAAGTACACATAACAACGAAATCAACCAAATAGATATATTAACTGAGTTTTTGCACAAAGCTTTTAGGAGAAAGATTTCAAAGGTAATGTAGTGATTGATCATACCTCCAACGTTTCACCATAGTTGGTACATTCAGCAATAAACGTTTTCTTGCGTCCTAAATTAGTAGAAGCGCCTTGAGAACTATTGCAGTGGATTTGTGTGCTTTATGAATCTTATTATTATTATTATTAGAAGTAGCTCTAATTAAAAGTAGTACTAGAGGTTAACAAGGGTTTTTGTCTTTTTTACCAAACATTGAATTTTATTATTAATAATTGTGAAATTTTTGTCTTTCAATTTTGTGCCAATGTGTTTATATTTATTTTGTTTTGTTTGTTTATTTATGTATAGAAATGTAAAATTTATTTATTTATTAATTGGGGCTGTAGTTAACTAAATCGTTAAATTATTATGGTATGTTATCAATTATTTCTTTATAGTATTTCAGTACTATACGTTGCAGTTTAAAAGCGCTGGTACGTTTGATAAGATATACAATAATCATAGTGCACCCTCTTCTTATCAGCGGCCCGATTGTTCATTACAGAGATACTCAAAATGGCATATCATGGATACTCATTCGAGGGACAAGTTGGCAAGTATTTGAGAGATAGATACGGAAGTTCACAAGTCCAGTCACAAGTACGATTGGGTAATGGGCGAACTGCTGACTTTGTTGTGAATGGTAACCAAGTATGGGAAGCGAAGTCTTCGGCGAGGATCGATAAAGAATATGTCTTTCAGGTGGCAAGTACGGCTAGTGGATACGGACAAGCTGTCCTTGCCATTGGACGAGATGCAAGCGTTTCCGACACCGTCCACCAGCATGCACGTGCTAATGGTGTGCAGATCATCAGAATGCAGTTTAATTAGCAATCATAATCGATGAGTTAACCATGATTATGAATTTCTGAAAATCGAAGACATAGAGCGACATTTGGAGTAGGCCTTGTTATCGTTTTATAGCGCATAGAGAACTCGGGTTGCTTATTATTATCTTTATGTTTATTATTATCATTATTATCATTATTAATATTATTATTATTATTATTATTATTATTATTATTATTATTATTATTAATATTATTATTATCATCATTATTATTATTATTATTATTATTATTATTATTATTACATTTATTACTATTATCATTATCGTTATCAACATTGTTGTACTGATGAAAGTAATCAGATACAAATCATGAATTCTAAAATGAAACTACGTACTTTTTAATCGTAAAATGCATTACATTCTTAAATCAGATACATTTTAAAATATAATTTGTAAACGTCATATTGTCAAGTTGTACCGTATGCGCTGAATAATCCTATGCTTATTATTATGATAGCAACTGGAGAATTTGAATTGACTCATTATGCATGGTGCATTATGCACGGTGGTAATTATCATTTATCTAATATCGTAGGTATTGATGAATAAATGTCCATAGTTCAAGTTCAAGTTTTATTTCAAAATATCATCGTTGATAGCTTTGCTACGGAAGCACCTAAGTGCCATTCGACTTGACGACTTGTCAAGATAATTTATCTCACCATGACAACATACAACTTTTATTATGTCGACTTGTCAAGATAACCTATCTTGTCATGACAACAAAACATTTTTAGTATGTCGACTTGTCAAGATAATCTATCTCGCCATGTCGACATGATATGTATATTATTTCGACTTGACAACATAATTATCTTGACAAGTCGTCAAGTCGAATGGCACTTAGGTGCTTCCGTATAATCTATCTCGCCATGTCGACATGATATGTATATTATTTCGACTTGACAACATAATTATCTTGACAAGTCGTCAAGTCGAATGGCACTTAGGTGCTTCCGTACTTTGCAGCTAAATTACGAATGAATTACAACAATACATATATAAATTCAAAATTTTAGGGTAAAGCTATATAACTGTAAAAATACATTGATATAAAAATGAAACTATGATCTAGGATGAACTTAGCTTAATAAGTTAATATTGAGGTTCAAATATATGCAAGTTTAAGTACTTTGCCGGTTTAAGATACTAATGAGGAATGGAATTGGGCTTTGCTTGTATAGTGGTTTGAATTGATTTTTCTTTCTCAAACTATATCGGTGATCTATTTGAGTTTGAGCAGGTATCCAGGAATTAAAATGCACAAAAACAGGCACAATATATTGTTACCTGATTATGAAGCCCGTTCCAATGGATTAATGGTCTTAAGCTGGTTTTCCACTAGGCCAATTTATTCGCGCGAATCAAAGCGTCGGTTCGCTTTTTGAGCTCTGATTGGTTGCGCATTTTTTCACTTCAATTCGCAAAAAGTCCGATAGGAATGTGAACACACATGCGAATGAACCGAGGCTTTCGATTTGCACGAATAAATTCGCCTAGTGGAAAACCGGCTTTATGGCGCTGTGAGACACCAGTACAGAGTGCTATATAAACAAATTATTACCCAGTCAGCAGCATGCTGACTGGGTTCTGTTTCTTAGCAGTTTCTTTCTTTCTGGCAACATTTTAAAAGGCTACTAGTGGCGAACTACTGGACCGATTTAATTAAAACTTGGTCAGTAGGACCGGTGCCACCTCCCATTTGACAACTTGGGGTCAAAGATCACAGAAAGGGCATTGGGGTCAAAAAACCAAAAATCGTATAAAAGACTACTTCTTTCACAAAAAGCACAGTCTTGTCCTTTGCACATTGGCATAAGGCAGAGTCTATATGGTGTTCAGGGATAAGGGTCAAAGGTCATTAAGGGGAAATTTTTATCTTTTTTTTAGAAACATTTTAAAACGCTACTAGTGCCAAACGGTTGTGCCGATTTCAACAAAACCTGGTCAGTATAATCGGTGAAACCTCTCATACATGGGGTGTTCACTGCTTGGGGTCAAAGGTCTCATAGGGGTCATCAGGGTAAAAAAAAATTTTTAAATGAATAAAAGTCTTCTTCTGTCACAAATAACATACACAGTCTTGTCCTAGGCTCATATGTATTGGCATAAGTTAGGGTCTTTATGGTGTTTAGCGATTTAGGGTCAAAGGTCATTAAAGGGTTATTCTTTTGTTCTCTCTAGTAATATTTCAAAATGCTTCTAATGGCAAACCATTGGACCAAACTCAATCAAATTTCGTCTTTAGGAATCGACGACACCTCCTACACCCTAGTCTGGGATCAGGGGTCACATAGGGGTCATCGGGGTTAAATTTTCAAAATAGCCCAATTGAGCTCAAATTTACCAGGAATGATCCTTAGGATAAATACTCTTCACCCATATGTCAAATTTCATAGGTCAAAGATTCAAAATGTTACTAATGGCAAACGATTGAACAGAATTCAATCAAATTTGATCATTAAGAACCAGTGACACCTCCTATACCCCTGTCTGGCATCAGTGGTTACATAGGGGTTATCGTGTTCAAATTTTCAAAATAGCCCAATTGAGCTCGAATTTACCAGGAATGATCCTTAGGACCTTCTAAACATGAAAAACTACTCTTCAAATCTAGGTAAAAAATCACAAGGGTCACTATAGTGAAAATTATCAAATATTGCTAGTGACTAACGATTGGACCAATTGCATTAGACAGACTCCTACCAATCACAGGTTGAGGTTAAAGGTCACAATGGTTATCTCTTAAAAAATGACTGGATTCATGTTCTATTGAACATAGTACGGTATCTCTATATATTATTATAATTAGGACCTACGTTGATTGAAGGCTAGACTTGCCACAAGTCTCTTATTTTTTATTATTTTTCTCATTCTGGACAGCGCCACCAACGAGAAAGTTAATTTAGAGACGGAATAAGCGACTTGTAAAACACTGAAATCAGGCACCAGGATGCCAAAAGAATGACGGAATCTTATATTCCGTATTTGGATAAATGGGCGGACCGAAATAAACAATTTCAACCAATCAAATGTTCATATTTTAGGAGCCACGAAACTGAGTCACACGCGTCGACTAGTTAGGCATGACTAAATTTAAATAGTCCTCCCTAATAAAACGGGCCTAAAATATTTAGAATAGACCCTAGTAAGACTAATGTTGGCAATGGCAAAAACAATTAAGCTTAGACTAGAT